CAGGTCCGGAACGAAAGCTGCAAGTCTAGTAAACTCTCTCTCGTACTCATCAACAGTACGAGTACCCTGCTGGAGCGATAAGAACTGACGCTCCATCTCTGCTCGATAATAAGTGGGGTAGTACTTCTCACGAATTATCTCCTTGAGCATCTCCCATGTACATCCCGCCTTCTCGCCCGGACGCATGCTCCAGTAAGCATTCCACCAGAGCCGAGCATCACCGGTGAGCTGAAGCTGAGCGCAGACTACGCGATATCTATCAGGACAATCCATGACCTCCAAGATAAACTCAAGGCCCTGAATCCATTCGTCTACTATACGAGGATCTCCCTGCCCTGAAAATTTTTCAGCATGATAGTCGTAGAACTGTGCGACTACTGTGGCCTGAGTAGGAGCTGGGTGATCGGGTTCCCTACGGGGCGGCATCTGAACATTGAGAAAGTTCAACATTATTGAACACGTGACAATATTCTGACTGATTACTAAGACATACAAATCTCTTGACGAGTTGCCAAAAATGGCCGATAAATACTGACATGAATCCTGAGGAACTCTAGAGTCATATCGGAAGATACTAAATTCTAGAGTCATATTTGAATGTCCTGAATTCTAAAGTCTGATCCTAATTCAAGCATCTTAACTAAGTCCTGATCCATAATTTCTGAGCATAGGCAAAGTAATATGTTTATAACTGAAAACATAAATCAACACTTACCTGTAGTCGGCGAGGCGTGAGCGTGACGGTTCAGGTTTTTCTGAAAATTATTGACTGAAAAATTTTTCAGAGACGCAGAAACCTGGCACTGATACCAATTGTAACACCCCGCCTTATCGTGAAATCAGAGTGCGTAAATTTCGCAAAGTTATTTAAAAATCAAATCTTTTAATTTGCGAAAACTGATTTGGGGTGCTATCGTAAAACGTGACTTATTCTGAAAAACCGTTAATTAAATTTTTAAACTGATTTGGGGTGCTATCGTAAAACGTGACTTATTCTGAAAAACCGTTAATTAAATTTTTAACAAAATCTACGGTTTACTGAAAGCATAAAATTTTTGAAAGTCTGATCAAAAGATGGTTTCGGCAAACATCAAAATCAGCGGAAACGTAGTATCATCAAAATATATATACAATCATAACATAAAAGTCTTGAAGCCTCCGTCATCTCATGCTCCCGGCCCGACATCCTGACCTGAAAAACATGATAAAAGTGGGTCGTGAGCATTATAACACTGTGCTCCGTGGAAACTCATACTAATGTAAACATTGAAAATAATAACAACATCATGATCTTGGCATATACATAACCTGAACATGAAACCGGTAATAACATGAACATGAATCTGATATCATCACGTGAACGTGAACCATGACCGTTACCTCATCTGCCGGCACAAACTAATGCCGGACACCATGTGCACACTCTAGTGGGCAAACTAAGGCCACTAGAACCCAGAATGGACCAGCGACCATTCCGAGCGGATACATGACATGAAATACATACCTCAAACATGGTACCGTAATTATAATCAATGTAGAACTTAGTCTCAGTCCCCACCTGATCCGTGAAAGTAAAGGTAGTGCTGATACTCGTGACCTGATCAAACTGAAATTTAATATAAACAATTACTAATGACTATGCTCAGACTGTTAACTTAACTGATTAATTATGTTAAGATGCTATACTGAACCTGACATGATATTTGGACTTAACCGGAATAACCGGAACTGATCTGACATGAACTGATCGGACATGAACTTACTGAACTGAACTGAACCCGGAATTTTTAACTGAAAATGACACTGAAATCATGAACCGGGGCTGAAACCATAAAGTACGGACTGAACCGGTCCAACCGGTCTGAACTGGTCTG